TCTATTCTATGTATTAAAGTTATTAGACATTATGATTATAACTTATGATATAGTCCAGGATTATAGTTTTTTTTTGTTCTGTAAACTATAGATATATATTTTTTAGAGCGTTAGGAATAGTTTTGTATAAAATATGGAGTTATAGAAGGAAAATCTCATTCTTCTCCTTTTTTCTTCTTATTTGGCACATTATTTCATGTAACTATATGTTTCAAACTCTCATTTAATCTGTAATCAAATGTACGATCGAATTCGCGTTCGCTATATATCCCTATCTATCATGTGGAAGAGTCTCGATCAACATTTTATTTGACGGAAACACCACATTAATTCAAATCGCGCAACACATATATTTCTTATGAATGCCACCAAATTTGATGTAGAATGAATAATAAAAAAGAAAAATATATTTGTTCGCTCTTCTATTTTTTTTTTTTCTCTATTTCATCATTGTACACGGTAACGTGTAAAAAAAATCAAAAATCTTTTTCATGAATTTAACTACAGGTAGGAATAGTAACTAAAAGTAATCACTGTTATTTTTTTCTTAAGATAGTTGACATAAGAAAAATGGACATTAGATTCATTGTAGTAGTAAGCGAAATATATAGACATAAGAATACGTAGCGTAAATATTTATATTTTTTTTTATTATTAGAAAATTTAAGGAGTGATGCATAAGTAACAGTTGTATTTTATATTTTTGCTTTCTATGGTGAGTGAAGATACCCATATTTTTCTATTTAATATTTAAAATTTTGTTTACTCTGCATGATGTCTAAGAATTAACGACATAGAGATTGATTATTCAAGGACAAAGTGAAACGGAAAAATTGTGATTAAAGATACATTTAGTAATTTATTATCGATTTCTGCTTTAGTTTGTACAAACGGGAAATCCGTCGTTATCTCAACAAATAAAACATCTAATAAAATATAAGAAATTATTATTGTGTATGAATAAGAAGAGAAGACAAGACAAGACAAGACAAGTTTGAATAGAGTAATGCCGTTTCGCTAAATATCATGTCACAATAAGATAGAGATTTTACCACTAGCAGATTCAACTACTATTCAATACATGTAATTATATGTACCACCTATAAGGAGAAAAACTTGACTTTGTGCCTGCGCAGATTTGAGTAAAAAAAATTATCTTACAGACGGACATCACGTATCTAAACAAAAACTCCACATGTTATAAAAAAAACTTTCTAAATCCGCCAATGGCCATTGCAAAAATTCTAGATGAAACTAGTGGCAAATGAATCATGTTGTTATTTTAACATAGCGATAGATAATTACGACATATGTTAGACTTGGCTTTAAGAGTATGAGAATGGTTTTATTTTTCTATTTCAAAGAACTTATGAAAGACGAGATCATTATTCACTCGCTAGTTGTATGGTGCGTTAAAAATATGAATTTTTCTCTTAATCAAATGGCTATTTAGTTTGTGTTTTATTATTTAGCTAAGCCTATCTTAAATATTATTTTGTCTTGATAGTTTGGACAAAAAAGACACTAAATCAATTGAATGTTGAGAAATGTGATTTGAAGCCTTGTCGTTTTGTGAAAGAAAGCCTGTCTATTTTCACTATGTATTTTGCTAAATGAATTTATTATTATTATCTCTCATTTTAGTCAAGTTGAAAAAACGATCTAATCATAACGTTTGTATCTGAACTTATTAATTATATATTGTGTATGTTTCTTTACCTTGTAGTTAGTTATACATTCTTTAATTATATCAGTTAAATTTCACATTTTCAGGTGAGGATAGAAAAAGCAAAAGACATCATTAGCATTTCAGAGATCATTAGAAGTCAAAAGAAAATAATATATAAAAACTTATTAAATTAAAAATAACATATATCATATTTGTGGAAAAAATTCATTTAAACAAAAAAGCAAATAGCACAAGAAAAAAAATTTCTTTTATTTCTGCACGCTATCCCTTCTTTCTTCCTTCCCATTAGAATTTGATTTTTGAACATTTCATGGAGTTACTCTTGTTAATGGAGACAACGTTCTTCTCTTTTTTTTTCCCTAACATTTATACTTGATAAAAAAACAAAAAGATGTACCTTAAGATTATCATTTCTATAAATTCATTTGAAATTATTTTTCCGGCAACGAAAATATTCTCTCTCTCTCTCTCTCTCTCTCTATATATATATATATATATTTTTTTTTTTTTTGTATGTCTATTTACAGAATAGATGATTTTTCTTTTTGTTCTTTTTTTCATAGTTTTTTGTTTGCATTTAGCATATAGATGATTATTATTATCTCTCTGTCAACGGGCATGAACAAAAATATTACACATAGGTCTAATGGGCATTTAGTATGGCTTTATACAAGTAAGCATGAAAAATCAATGTTATTCTCGCTAAGCAATTGTTTTATAAAATGACATTTTATTTAGTTAGACACCGCACTAGTCAAACTTTTTGTCGTGATTTTTTCGATTAAGACAACGTAAAAGTTTAAGAAATTTCAAGAATTTAACATGAAATAATCTTTTTGTTTTCATATACCTATAGACTTTGATAATTCTCAAATTATTGTTTTATTTACATTTTTGTATTCGATTTTTATATTTAGTATAAATTCTAGAAAAAACCCTAAGATCAGCTATATATGGCTGTTTTTTACGAAAAAAATGTAAATAAAATCTTTTATTCAAGATCTTGTACGCAAGAGTCCAAAAACTTGATTATTGGACGTTTTTTTTTTTTCGAATATAAAGTAACATTTCTTGTACCAAGATCTTAATTACAAGACGTTTCAATAGAGTAAATATTTACAAAGACAATTAAATGAAATAATAGAATAAAAATTTTTTCGATGAGCTGAGACATTGCACGTAGTGGAAACTAATCAAATATTGTCATTTTGTTGTTATTCTCTAATAGACTTTTAATAGTTGCGCTTCTCAGATTCCCATTTCAGAAAATTGCTTGACGTTCCACGTTACTATTGTAATAAATCAACATTAAACACTGTAGTAATGTGTATTATATTTGCCAAGACAATATGACCGATTTTTTAAAGTATCGGGAATGATTTTTTATATCGAAGTTCGATATGACACAAATGTTTTCATATCCCTATCGGTGCTTATTTTAATTTATCGCAGTGTTAAATCAAATATTCATCTTGATTTCTACCTCTAACTAGTCAGAAGTGTCTCTTTATTGAATTATTAAAAGTTAATATATTTAATAATAGAAAATATTTATTAATCTCTAGTCCATCCTTGTATACTTATAGAAAATCTTTTGAAAAAATATTATATAAATTGCCTGCAGGCACTATTTTAAAGATTATAAAGGAATCGGACACTTTTATTTGAGGTCAAATTACAAATTCAAATAAATTAGTAAAATTGAACATGTCGTCATTCTCATTATATACTTGAAACCAAGCGTGGTACGAGCTATTATTTTAATGGAAAAAAAAACGAAATAGTTTATTTGTGTTCTATTGTATGTATACATACATAAGCACTTGAAAAACTAACTATAAACTTGGAATTAAGTACACACGAGTGATTTTCTTGTCTCTTCTTTTTCTTTCGTGTTGTGTATGTGTTTGCTTTTTTTGACTATTACTGTATCGTAATAAGAAGTATATTTCTACTCTTAGGTTCTTTCTTATTTTCCTGCTTATTTATCATAATGATCGTGGTATACAACAATTTTCTTACTGTTTTTTCAAACAATATTAGGTACAAAAAGCAAAAAAAAAAAAAATAACTTTTGAGTCAATTTACGAACAAGATTAAAAATAGATTGATATAATGATTTTGTATTTTTTTTCTCGTCTTATTATGGGGGTTTATATTTTATGGATTTTATGGTAATAGTAGTATACACTGAACTGTGAATGTCAGAATTTGCTCATTGTCAAAAATAAATGACTGACTTAATAAAAGTATTTGAGATAATAATACTTGTTATACTGTTTTATTATATATAAAGCTTATTTTCGAAGAACTGATCAATGTATTCTACAATGATAAAAGTCTATCAGAAGTATGCTATAAAGCTTAAATGGTAAAAGATTATAGTGTGTTATTTTGAGATAATTGTATATTATAATTTTGAAAACAGTACTAACTCTTGATGATATAATACGTTTCAAGATAAGTAATGTTGTTTTTATTATAAAAGAAAGACAAATATATTTTGTATGTACGTTATTTAAAGTCAATGCTGTATAAAACTACTACTACAACGTATTCAATTGAGACCGATTTCTTACCTCTTTCGAGACTAGATTGAAAGGGAAAAAAAAGCATCTCTCGTAATAGATAAATTCAATGCAATCTCATTGAAATAAGACAGGAAGTTGAGATTAAAAAAAACGATAATGTATAAGGAAGGAAATGGTTGAACATCAGGATATAAGCAAACAAAGAGAATGATTATGAGTTTTCCTATTGTTGTTTTTCTTCTATAATATTTGTGAAGACGAGAAACATTTTTTCTTTTTTCGAGTGAATCTCATACTAAATGATAGTGACAAGGTACACGTGTAATTAAACTGCAATATAAGACGAAAGAATGAATTTACTTCAAACGATATAAATTTCCCATGAGATTTTCACTTCTTTTTTTTTCTATCAACCATCAAAACCCTAATCTTTTCCGATTAACACAATATGAATACACACATACATAGACACATACACAGACATAAATGACTATCATAATTTTATTTCAGATAACCAAGTTACAAATGCCAGAGGGAATTTAACTTAATCGGACCCGTAAGCATGATAAAAATATTCTTTCAATATCATTTTTTAGATATTGACGTATAACATCCGTCCTTCCAGGCAAACTGGTTCAGCATTCCTCCGACAGTGCCTCCGTGTCGACTCGTTGTAAGTTATTTTTTTCTTCTGTTTTAATTATATAAATAATCTTTTTCCCATTATTTTAGCTGCGAGTTGGCATTGTCTGAGGCCACAGACATGTTGTTATTAGATCATGGATAAAGACCTTTCCACTACAACACAATTTATCGCAACAACAACAGCGAAATCTGATATTTTAGTTGAAAATAATCCATTAGTTAAATATTCCCAGGATCGTATTGTCGATTCAACAACCATTGTTAATATACCACCACATGAAACTGATCGATTTTTAGATCATGCATCATCAAATATTATCAGTGATCTACCACATTCTCGAAATTTAGAAGAAACTGATGAAAGTGAACTACCATTTCCCGGATTTATTGAAAAATCATTTTATTGTTTACGTCAAAAAACGCCACCTAGATATCAATGTTTAAAATTAATTACTTGGCCATATCCTTTTTATAAAATTTTCAAAGAAAAGTTAAACGTATAAATATGTCTAGAAAAAAAGGATCTGTAGAGATGCGATGTAAAAGAAATTTCTAACACAAAATTTAGCAAACATAATATGTTTTCTACTGTTTATTTACACGCCAAAATCAAGTGTCAATTGTATTACATGAAAAATTTGCTTATCCTTTCAATTTTACATAGAAATTATGTCATTCTTTCTAAAAATTTGCCATAGTGTATTTTCTAAAACTGAAAAACTGAATTTAAATATAAACGATCTACTTCTTAAATATTATTCCTTTACATTGTTGTTATCGTTTTTACATGGTTTGAACGTATTAGTATGTTTGTGATTTTACTCAATTGTATTACTCTTGGAATGTATCAACCTTGTGCTCATCAAGTTCAATTAACACAAAAAAAATGTAATTAATTTATGATTATTATTTATTGATATTTAATACATATCTTAATTTAGGCGATACACCCCGATGCATATGGCTGCAGTTCACCGATTATTTTATATTTGGATTTTTTACAATTGAAATGTGTATAAAAATGATGGCTATGGGTATATTTGGAAAAGGAACATATTTGGCTGAAACATGGAATCGTCTCGATTGTTTTATTGTTGTTGCTGGGTAATAGTTTAATTTTCTATAAAAGACATCTTTAAAATTTGGATTTTATTAGACTTATTGAATGGGTGGTACCTGGTGATAATTTAAGTTTGTCGGCAATTCGAACAATTCGTGTTTTACGGCCATTAAGAGCTATTAATCGGGTACCAAGTATGCGTATATTGGTCATGTTATTGTTAGATACTTTACCAATGTTGGGTAAGTCTTCGATTTATCTTTCGTATCTAACAGTAGCAATTTTTACTTGTATTATTTTAGGAAATGTATTATTATTATGTTTTTTTGTTTTCTTCATCTTTGGAATAATTGGTGTTCAATTATGGAAAGGATTATTAAGAAACCGATGTTTTTTACAATTCAATTCCCCAGTATTACCAGATTATGAGTTATTTGCGTAAGTTAATAGAAGACCACTTTAATTATCCTAAAAGAAAAATCTCTTTTTATATTTTTAGAGATGTCCCATTGAGAGCATACTATATACCACCTGATCAAGATTCATTCGTATGCTCACCGATAAATGGTGGTGGTATGGTAAGAATTCAACAACTTTTTCGTATTATATACATAATCTATTGAGCAACTATATTTCTTCTTTTAAATAGACAAAATGTTCAGAAATACCAAAATTACGTCAGGGTAATATGACATGTGAATTAGGTCATGAAGGCTATAATGCCATGAATCGTCCAGTTAATGGTTGTATCAATTGGAATCAATATTATCGTTTTTGTAACACCTCTGATAAAAATCCATTTTCTGGATCAATTAGTTTTGATAACATTGGATTAGCATGGGTTGTGATATTTCAAGTATGTTACTTTTACTATCCTTCATTACAGAAACAACAATTATACTCCATGTTGTTCTTTTACAGATAATTTCGTTAGAATCATGGGTTAATGTTATGTATTACATTCAAGATGCTCATTCATTTTGGGATTGGATTTATTTTGTTTGTCTAATTGTTATTGGCTCATTTTTTATGATTAACTTATGTTTAGTAGTCATAGCTACGCAATTTTCTGAGACAAAAAAACGTGAAACAGAACGAATGTTACTTGAACGAAGACGTTATTCGAGATCAAGTAGTACATTGGCGAGTAGTGAAGAACCCGGTTCCTGTTGGGAAGAAACAATTAAATATCTAGAACGTTTATATCGAAGAGCACATAAAAAAATCATTCGATTATATAAACATTATCAACAGCGGCGGAAAAAAGTAAATGTAATATTTTTATTTTAGTCTATTTGACACTTAACCTTGACATTAAGAAATAGGTACAAGATTTTTCAGATAAGTGACAGCAATAGAAGATTAACATAATAACTTTGCATCAGGTGCATAGATGGAAGTTGGATTAGAAAATTTTATGAGAAATAAGAGAAGAGATTTAAATGCGCTTTTCTACCTTCCTAATAGTATTCACGAGACATAAGGATCTATTGCTTTATTGTCTTTTAGATTGATGTAAATCGTTTAACAGAAGTAAAAAAACGTCGAAGAAAGAACAAGCAACAACGAAAAAAGTCTGCACCATTACAAATTCATATTCACACTCATTATCATACGTATCCATCGAGTGATGGTAGCGGCGGTCAAAGTGCAGCATCAGCATCGAATGTAAATAATAGTCAACAACATTCAAACTCAAATTTAAACTCATATGATCATAATTTACGTCGAAATATCAACAGTAATTTATCATCATCATTATCTCATCGAGATTCCCTAATAGACGATAAACATCAAACCTGTGCGAGTCCATCTTTATTTGATAATCATAATCAATTATTATCAACTTCTTCTTCACCATCATATCTTCGTTCATGTCCAGATGCAAATCCTGAAGATTCTGAAATTGAACCATCAAGTGCCTCAATTTCAAATACACAGCCAGCATCCTATACAGCAGCAGGTTGTTCAAATTTAGAAACTGTAACTCATACCCAAACATTAAAATATGATCCCAAACATTTATCCTCATCATCCAAATCATTTCATACACATACTGTTTCATTAAGTCGGACAACACCAATTTCTAAATCAATAGACGGTTATGATAATCTATGTCCAGAAGTCATTGCCATAACAAGTGCAAAAAGTATAGCAAATGCCGCTATCAATAATAATCTATTAGTAGAAACTATAGAAAAAAGACGATCTCAGCAAAAAAAAGGTATCATTGGTGTTATTTATGTAGTAACAAATAGCAGTCTTCTCCTATACCAATCGTAGAATTATAAACAATAATATATAGTTAGAACGGTCTTTAATATATGAAAATCAGAATGTAACGTTGATACTTATAATTATTTCTAATTTTAAACTATCTGCTGCTGGACATATAATCCCATTTATAATTTATAAGTTTGATATTTAATAATGTTATGTTTTTTTCTACTTTAGGACAAGATGATAAACGCAATTCAATGCAACATTTGGAAATTGTTAATTCTGATATTGAGTTGAGCGACAGTCAAAAGAAAGAGAGTGGTGACGATACTAATATCGAAGATACGACAAATGACGATGATGAGGAAGAAGAAGAGGATTTAGACGAAGATAATCATCGAAAAAAATCGTCGAAACGGATAAAATCGAAACGACGAAAAGCCTTCGAAAATCTAATTTGTACTCACTATAAAAAATTTCAAAAATTGATTGCTAATTTTGTAGCATCAAAATATTTTCGACGTATTGTACTAACGGCTATTGTTATAAATACACTGAGTATGGGAATTGAATATCATGGTCAACCACCATCATTGACAAATGCTTTGGAATATTCGAATATTGTGTTCACCATATTATTTGTACTTGAAATGGTATTGAAAATATTTGCCGAAGGTATTTTAAAATATATTAAAAATGCGTATAATCTATTGGATGGCGGCATTGTTATTTTGAGTGTCATTGAATTACAAGGCAAAGATAATAGTGGACTCTCCGTTTTAAGAACGTTTCGTCTATTAAGAGTATTAAAATTAGTCCGTTTCATGCCAACATTAAGACGTCAATTAGTAAGTATGACATCGCAAGTGGACGTCAAAAATTTAAGCCATTTTCGTATTTTCTATTTTTGGAAAAGTCAGAGGACTCATTTGAGTAGTTGAAAGAGTTTTTAGTCTCTATGATAACTCACCTATAATTTCCGAAAACGTGGCTCTGGAAAGGCTCAGCACCTAAAACGACTCGGTTTTAAGTGCTCCAGCCTTCCAGAGCCACGTTTCCAGAAATTATAGGTGAGTTATCATAGAGACTAAAAACTCTTTCAACTACTCAAATGAGTCCTCTGATTTCCAACAAAAAGAAAAAAATTAATAAAAAATACAAAAATAACTTGCACTTGAGTAGATAACAATCAAGTTTATCAATTCAACTTTCAGGTTGTGATGTTAAAAACAATGGACAATGTTGCCACATTTTTCTCATTATTACTTTTATTTATTTTCATATTTAGGTAAGTTATTAATTAAACAATTTCGATGTAAGGTCTGATTTGACATTCTTCGAATAGTTCAGCTATTTTCTTTCTCCCTAGTATTCTTGGTATGAATTTGTTCGGCTGCAAATTTTGTAAGCATATACTTATTAACGACAAAATTGTGTCTGAATGTACAAGAAAGAATTTTGATTCATTATTATGGGCCACTCTGACCGTTTTTCAAGTGAGGAAGGATGACAGATTGATGTTCCGAAAATGGCATTTTGTTATTGTACAAATACCTATATATTCATTCTTTCTATACATGTCTAATTATTAAAATAAGTGCACTAAGACATGGTCCACTAGGACAGAGCTTTGATTCAAACATTGGCACCTAGAAATTTCAATCTTTTCAAAAACCCTAATAGTTTTCGTTCACCAATACCTAAAACACCTTCATTTCCGATTAGTTAATAAGAGGAAATAATTAAAACCTTTCATTAACACTACTTTCACGATATCATCACGACCGTCTATCCTTGTCTTTATGTTGTTAACTAAATATCGTTGTTCAATGTATTGATGTTAAAAAAATTTGGACTATAATCTCCTCTCAAAAATGAAGAATACTCTATATGCTTCATAAATGATTGTGCTTTTTATGTTATATCCGTCTATCTATCTTAGCATTCTTGGTATGCATATATTTGGCGGTGAATTTTGTACATTATCAGCATATAATATTACATCTCGTGAAGAATTTAATATGAAATGTCGATGTTGTCAATGCAAAGAAATTCATGATTTTAAAAATCAAACAGATTTGAGAGATGTTGAATGTATCGAAGAAAGAAAAAATTTTGATTCACTCAAGTCATCATTATTAACCGTATTTCAGGTGTGAATATAACTATAAAAGTATTTAATATTTACAAAATACTAAACTTAGTCTATTTAGTCGTGTATGGAATGTATAGCTAGTTAGCTTTGAGCTTTCTCTATTCATTTGTCTGAATTTATTTTATTGCTTTCGTATGAAAATCTAAAATGATTAGTGTTTAATTATTTAAAAGTTACGCTATATAAAATGTCAAGTCCAATCAAATAAATGATACTAGTTTGCTTAATTAAGAATATATAAAACCCCATAAAAAATGATAATTTATTTTCCAACCTGCTTTCGCTTTCTGATCATTTTATGATCATAAGCAAAAACTCCATTTTGTTGTGTAATTGTTAACTGTGTGTTTTATATGATTTTGCTTACTTTTCAGAGATGAACCAGCTGCTTTTTGCTACTTGAAATTCAGCTTTCGTACAGGTACGCTTTTTATCCCGCTTTGTGTGCTTTGCTACGTCGAAAATTTTCTTTTATCAAAAAATCAGAAAAATATTTTATCATTCTTTTCTTACAATTCAAAGGTATTAACGCAAGAAGATTGGAATGAGGTTCTTTATAACGGTAATTATACAATAAAACTGAGACAAGTGTATTCTCATTCAGTACTATGGATTTTTTCTAGGAATGGAAAAAACATCGGCGTGGGCAGCATTGTACTTCATAGCCTTGATGACATTTGGCAATTATGTTTTGTTTAATTTATTGGTTGCCATCTTAGTTGAAGGATTTTCTACGGAAAAAGGTGGTGATAGTGATGGTAGTACAGATAAATTGGCAAAAGCTGATCCGTTTAAAGTGAATGTTTATAAATGTTCATTGCTTATTAAACTGTTATTTATTATTATTTTTCTTCAGATGGAAGCATTGTTAACTGGAAATTGTGAAACACCAGCACATCCACACGAAACATTAGATACAATTCGAAAACATCATGATGGCAACAAACCTGATGATTCAGAAGGAAAGACATACCGAGGAAAAGAAGTGAAAATCATGAGTATTCCAAAAATAGCAATTAGTAACGAAGATGATTCTAGTTTAAGAATAATTGGTACACCTCAAATAACTCGAACTAGTCCATCATCAAATCACAGTAGTCAAAATTCTCCAATTATGTTTGATCGTCCAACATTACCACAAATATCACCGTATAAATCGATAATTAAATATACAAATCAACGTAATGATAATAATACTAGTATTAGTAGTACAACAACAACTCCAAAAAGAGATGAATCATCAATAAGTAAAACACCTAGTTTTCGTTCATGTAGAAGTCATTTTGATCCAACAATAACAACACAAACAACAATTGATTCATCACTGCCGTATACCGATTGTCCAGAATGTATTCTACAACAAAAACAAAATTCAATAAAAGAAGAACAACATGTCACTGATGGAAATGACACAGAAGATGATATATCCGATTTATCGGTTATAGAAACATCGAAATTACTAAATCCTATAGCTGAATCAAGTAATGTATCATTATCAACTGTATCTAATACAACAATTTCATTAAAACGTCGTGATACAATACCAGCAACTTCATCTTCCACAACAAATGATGTTCGAAAACTATTTAATAAAAAACGTTCATTTTCAATATCAAGTAAAAGTGATACAATGGATTCAACACGTACCTGTAATGGTTCATCGGATAATTGGAATGGAAATGGTAATGGTGTACATCATTTTGAACCTAATTTTCCTTCACCACCACCATTACCAATTCTACCAAAAAATCCACGAAATTCTTTAACATCTGTTGCACAGATTATTCGAGAAGAAAAAAAATTATTAAATAATCAACGAACTCTTACACCTTATGTTAAAAATATAAATAATAATCGATATGTACGTCGTACAAATTCCTATAGACCAACAACAAATCGTCGAATATCTGACGAAGAAAATAAAATAAATAGTCAACATGAAAATACATTGAAATTAAAACGTCGATCAACATTGGATAATTCATTTAACTATAAATCTGTTAAGGTAGAAGTTAATATAATTGAGAATAAATTATCGATGTTAAATAGTGATGAAGAACAAACTCATTCATCAGAACAAGCTGAACTACAAAATAAGGATAGTTATGAATCAGCTATTTCTAATCCTAGTGTTGATGATGAAAATAATAATGATAAAGAAGTAGAAGAGATGAATGAAGATCAAAATGAACCATTAATGACGAACAATGGAGATATTGAAGTTGAACAAAATAGTCAAATTGAAGAAAAACGTGTTAAATCAAAAAAAGAGGTACAAATTTATTTATTATTTAATTTGTTTGATATTTTGTCAAATATTTTTATTTATTCAGATTTTTATCAGTTGGTTTCAAAATATTTGTCCACCAGCAAAACTAAAATGTGTCGAAAATAGACAAACATATTCACTCTATTTACTTGCACCAGATAACAGGTAATCAATTTTATTTTAAAATATTTTAGAATCTTATTTAAATTTGAAAATTTTAATGTTTAGAATACGAAAAGCTTGTAAACATCTTATTGCTCATAAATGGTTTGATTATTCAATATTATTTTTTATTGCCTTAAATTGTATTACACTTGCAATGGAAAGACCATCAATTCCTCAAAAAAGTTTTGTATGTTTGTTATTTTATTGTATTTATGTAAATAAGATGAATTATAATTATTTTTTATGTTTGTAGGAACGACAATTTCTTAATTATTCTAACTATATATTTACGATTATATTCATGATAGAAATGATTATAAAAGTAGGTTATAATATCGAATACTATTTCTTTTTTTTAAGTAAAATTTTTCTCTTGTTCAATCTAGGTGATTGCTAGTGGTCTAATATTTGGTGATAATACATATTTACATACAGGTTGGAACATAATGGACGGCTTTCTAGTTATCATATCTGTTATTGATATTATCACAATGAGTCGAGATGGAAAAGGTGGAAATGAGCATGAGGGAAGAAGAGGAATATTTGGAATGTTACGAGTATTTCGACTTTTGAGAACATTAAGACCATTACGGTAAAATAGAAAATTTTTATTAGACAAATTCTTTATGATACATTTGTTTATTATTATAGAGTAATAAGTCGTGCACCAGGATTAAAACTTGTTGTTCAAACTTTATTATCGTCCTTGAGGCCAATCGGTCATATTGTCGTTATTTGTTGCACATTTTTCATTATATTTGGAATATTAGGTGTACAGGTAAAATAGTTAATTTGTTATGACTTTATTAAAAAACGATAGCAACATTTTTTTGTATTTCTAGTTATTCAAGGGTAAATTTTACTATTGTGAAGGATCATTAGCTCGAAATGTGACCACAAGACAACAATGTGAGTTGTTGTCCGATCATGAATGGCGAAATCAACAATATAATTTTGATAATTTAGGCCAGGTTTGAGATGTATTAGAAAATTTATTTTAAAATTTTATTTATTCATTATTATTATTTATAGGCGCTTCTTGCATTATTTGTTTTATCATCAAAAGATGGATGGGTTCAAATAATGTATAATGGTATTGATGCTGTGGGTGTCGATCTTCAACCACGAAAAAATTATGATGAATCAAAATTATTCTATTTTATCTCCTTTCTATTGCTTGTTGGCTTTTTTGTAATAAATATGTTTGTTGGAGTTGTAGTAGAAAATTTTCATAAATGTCGTGCTGAACAAGAACGTGAAGAAAAAGCACGTAGAACAGCAAAACGTGCAAGAAAAATTGAAGAAAAACGACGTAGTATGTTTATTAATTTATCTCTAAAAAATATTGAATATTATTAATTAAAATTTTTTAAATTTTAGAAATAAGAGAAATTCCCTATTATGTTCATTTTTCACCATGGAGAAGAAAATTACACGATATATGTAATAGTAAATATTTTGATCTTATAATAGCGGCTGTTATTGGATTAAACGTTGTTACAATGTCATTGGAATTTTATTTAATGCCACAGGTATATATATAACACTTTCTTTCAATTGTTAAAATAGTCATTATCATATTCATTTTAGATTTTTGATCTTGCACTTGATTATTGTAATTATGCATTCACAATTGTGTTCGTAATCGAATCTATACTGAAAATAATTGCTCTTGGTCCATTAAGATATTTTCGAGACAAGTAAGAGATCTTCGTATATTTGTAATAAAAATATTTATCATTTTTAATTGTATTATAGATGGAATCAACTTGATACATTTATTGTTTTACTTTCGATTGCTGGTATTGTTATGGAAAAACTTAAAACAGGACATATACCTATCAATCCAACAATAATTAGAGTAATGAGAGTACTTCGTATTGCAAGAGGTTAGAAAATCATTTTAATTAGATATAGTACAATTTATTAAATATCTATCTCTTTTTATTTAGTATTAAAATTATTAAAAATGGCCAAAGGTATTCGGGCTCTATTAGATACTGTTATTCAAGCGCTTCCACAAGTGGGAAATTTGGTAATAAAAAAACTAAATGACCATATACCATACATGATTATATTAAATATTTTTTTCTTATTTTTCTCTAGGGTTTACTCTTTTTTCTATTATTTTTTATTTTTGCTGCGCTCGGTGTTGAATTATTTGGAAAATTAGGTAATTATTCCTATTCACATTAGTTAATAGTAAAAAGGTAGTAAATATTTTCGCTTGTTTAGAATGTAGTGGAGAACGACCATGTTCAGGTCTTGATAAACATGCCCATTTTAAAGATTTTGGCATGGCATTTTTAACATTATTTCGAATAGCAACGGGAGATAACTGGAATGGAATAATGAAAGTATGACTTTTAATGACAATAAAAAAAAATGATATACATCATTTTTTGTTTTATTTTTCTTTAAAGGATGCTTTACGACAAGGTGATTGCACAAATTGTATAAAAAATCCATTTGTAACTGCAATAACTCCCATTTATTTTGTTATATTCGTTTTAATGGCTCAATTTGTTTTGGTGAATGTTGTTGTTGCCGTGCTTATGAAACATCTTGATGTAAGTTACTCACTTGTTTGTTTTAAAAGGTAAGTAAACATTATTCCGTATGGATTTTCTTTCCATTGAACAGGATTCAAACAAGATGATGGCTGACGATGCTGATATTGATGCAGAAATCGAACGACAATTGGAAGCTGAACGATCATTTCCACAACCACCCTTGACATTGGATGACAAAGAACTTAACGTAAGATCCACAATCAATACTAAGTATTCATTAAAAAATTTTGGAAAACATTTTTCAGTTTTTGGACACTTTTAATGGTCCCACATTAACAAAACAGTTATCGTTGCCCGCAAACTTTACATTTCATTCTAACACTCCGCCCAAAGGTAAGTTGTAGTGAAACTATCCAATTTAAAGTTAAAATTATATTCTTCTCTCTTATATTTTAGTACGTCGTGTTCAAAATAGAACCGCATCATTCAACCTAAATAAGCGTTCATCAGCCGATTCAGTTATTCTACGTTTACGCTCAACAGAAAAAAATTCCAATAATTATCAAAAAGATACCTTAAATAAAAGTGATTATAGTTCAACGAGTACCGAAACTGTCTATCAACCGATTCCAACCATACATCGTTCGAATACTCTACCAAAAAAATATCTTAGAAACGAAGAAGATCGAAAAAATAGTAGAACACTAAGTCCAATACAACAACGTTTTGATCGAAATAAAAATGATTCAAAATTAATTCGTGATAAAGTAAATATAATATCGCCAATAAATTCTCAAAATCGTTCGAAAAATTCATTGAATTATCAATCACCGTATACTCAATATAAACGTTTATGTGTCTCAGCTCAGCCATTTTCACCATCAATGTTAAATGTTGGACGAAAAATTAGAATTATTGATCAATCAGATTCAGAAAGTATCGAAAGTGGAAAATCTACCAATCATCAATGATAAAAACATATGCTACAGTAGTTTCTGCTGTTTTGAATGATTCCGTCCAGATTCATGAAAACAACCGAATATATTGATGTCACTCCATCTGGCATAATTTCTATATTTTTATTATAGGTATCTGTCAGATATCTGATATCATGTTAGAAAAAGTTTTTCATTGAGATTTTATCATCTAATTTTTTCCTGTTACTTATCTCGCGACTCCATCTACAAATACAAAAAATTGTATTGCGCATTTTACGATTATTCTACGTACGTTTACTTGTTTTGTTGATATTGATTTTCTTGTTGTTTATTTTCCTATGCTACATGTTCTCTTCGTTTTTTTTCTACATTTGTTTTTTTCTTCTCTTCTTGTTGACTTAATTGTATAGCCCTTCGCTATTACTTATTATAATGAGATAAAAAATAACAGTTCCTTTTTCCATCATTTAATAGTAAGGTGCCGTCAATTCAAAAAGATAGCATGTTTTTTTTTCGGTTTTTTGGCATGAATGAATAGCGCTCATCGAGTTATCTACAACAAAATTCGATTTCAGCTTTTCTGAAGAAACATTTTAAAATATTGATTTTTTAAAAATGGGCGAAAATGAGGACATTTTTGAGTAATAAACAGACTTTTCATGTTTAATCGTCTTTTAAAATTCTCAACCCATCTTTTATCTTATTTTTCATTGAAAACTAGATCTGGAATGCTAATTTTGAGAATTTTAGAAGCTAAAATGGACTCAGAATCTGCGAAACACGAGTAGAATAGTAAACCATTCAATTTTGCAAATCTATCTGGTCCCGGGGTTTAGGAGATAAAATTCTTTTTTTTTATTTGGTTCTGAACTTGTGGGAAAAAAGTTAAGTATCCTTTTTGGTAATCGAGTGAAAATCCTGATATTTCAATTTTTAAGAAAATCGAGAAACATCGAAAAATATGGACTAGTCTAAAAATTCCGAAATACACGTGTTCAACTCAGTTTTTAATGCTGATTCCGAAAATGACATGATTTTTAGTTGAAGAGTTGAGTTTTCATAGAGGAAACGGCAAAATACGAGCCCAATTTCATTATTTTTTCATTGATTTCGAAAAAATTGAATTTCTCGGCAACGAAACAAAATTTTCCAAAAAGGATATTTAACTTTTTCCCACAAGTATGGAGATCAGAATAAAGTAAAAGATAGAAAAAATCAATATTTTAAAATTTTTTCACCAAAAAATCTCTTCCGGAACGCTTAAATCGAGTTTTTTGTAGGTAACTCGATCAGCGCTATCCAACCGTACCAAAAAATCGAAAAAAAAACATGCTATCTTTTTGAATTGGCGGCAGTTTCTATATCCACAACAAAAATTAGAATGAGGTTTTTCATATTTAAAAACAAAAAAATCTTATAGACACTATGTATCATGCACAATTCTGTCTAAGGTACATTTTACTAACCAGAACCCTTACACCCGTGTTTTGTCTCGCTCTATCTTTTGTAATACAAAATTCTTTCATGAGTTTCTGATACATCAAGACTTTTTTTTTTCATCTATTTATTTTCTTCTTTGGCTTGATTTTCACGTTAATAAACTAAACGTAGTACTATTCTAAGTAACAGCTTGAAGTCGTTTGGCTAATTATTTTACTTTATCCACGTCGTTAGTATTTCTTGCTGCTGACAAAAGTGTAATATACGTAGTGAGATTTGGCTTATTTTTTCTCTCATATTCTTTGATTAATAATTCGGCATCATCAAATAAATACTCGTATGCTAATGTATTAACCTTAAATTCAGAATACAACAAATTTGATCAAGATTTCGATAGAGAACTCACAGAAGCATAGCAACAACGACATTTTACAATCAATGTATACATTTTCTTATCTCTTTCTTTATTTTTAATAGAATTAAATACCATTATTGCATCCTTAATTAATTTTGATTGATTATAAGCAGATAAAACACAAATATGCGTTTGTTTCTAAAATATGAATGAAAACGTTGGTGCAATTCAACCACTAGATTCAACCACTAGAACCATTGTATGTACCAAACGAATAGCTTACATTTGGCATCACTTCAATATCCATTTTTAATTTTATGAAACAGTTGAATAACTTCTGATCCTAATTCATTTACCCCATAATCAGTTATAAGCGTATTGTACGTTATTATAGAACGTCAACTTATTTCATCAAATATTTTCTTAGAACTAGTAATATCATTGCATTTTGCAAACATATCCGTCATTGAAATTGATAAGATTACGTTGTCACGTTAATTATTCAGCATTTGACTATATCCTGCTGTTTCTTTATAAATAAGTTTTGCTACTGATGAATTGCCTAGTTTTGATGCTGCATTAGCCGTTAAAATAGGAATAAAAAATCATAGCGAAAATTTTGGCTCTGATTTAACGATTCCGTAATAACATTTAAACAAGGACTTACATACATATCCAATACGTAACCGCTGCTATCTCGTTCTTCCGTTTATTAAATAGTTGTGATGCTTCGGTTGTCATTTTATTCAAATTATGAAATTTCATTAATACATTTATCGTAACTATAGCCGATTTGTTAATTTAAGCAAATACTGTTGTACAGGCAATAATATCATTACATCGTCCATCAATGTCTAATAACGTTATTTGTAACTTGATGGAATTTGTATAATTTATTTTATTATTGAGTAATTTATTATGAATTATTCCGCCTTTTTCTAAAGGTGTTAGTCCACTAATTTGACTACAAGAATTTACAAGTATAAGCTAAACGGGATCACCGATGTCAGATGAATGTCGTTCTTTTTTCATTTTATCAAATAGTTTTAACACTTGTTCGGAAATTCTATTCAAATGGCAATTTAAATATTTAGAAAACAAAAAATCATTATTTTAATTCACGTAGAAGACAGAGATAAGTTTTGTTACCATGGTAACCTCATGGTCTCAAACAGTATTTCAACATTTTTCACAAAATCACATTTGAAATACACGTGTAGTAGAGCATTTATTAGTTTGATATTCTCTTTTATTGATTGATCGTCACCAGTCTCAATGAATTCATGAATTTCTTTTCCCTTTTCTACTTTTTTTCTTTTAAAACCAAATTCCTTATGATTTGTACACAATGTAATTCCAAGAAGAAAAATAATAAAATTAGGCTTTAATCTACTGTCTTTTATTATTTTATTGAATAAGATCAAGGATTTTCCCAGTTACCATTGTTATTGTAATTTTTCATTGTTAAGCCGTTTTGATTAATTTCATTGTCAGACGATATTTGTTTTGGAAATGTCTTTCTTCATTACGGGAGATATATGGAATCATAACTATAGATGAATGCTATTAAATTTGTTACTAAGCCTATGCGAGTCCCAACTCACATACGTGAATTGGGATAAATCATCATCCAGCCTAATTATCTGCTAAAGTCATCTTTCTAACGGTTATCGGTTCGTGATCGTTTTTCTCGATGTTATTTAGCCTCGCAAGAAAGTCCTTAAAAACTTTTTTGAGAAAAACAGCAAGGATATCAGGAGTATCTGGACTCAAAAATCGTTGCCTATAACCGACTATGGTAAAATTTGATCTCAGTTTATTACCGGACAAAATTATTAAAAAGTGACTTTTATTGTGCTTGTGATACATCTTTAGTATCATAGGAGTCCTAAAAAGCGTGATATTTTGGTAAAACATAGAAGCCAATCAAGCTCAATCGGTAGAGAATTTGAAGGGCTATCGAACGGTATACCATAGAGAAGTGTATAATTTTTCCTTTTCCCATAAGCAATAATTCATTCGAAAGAGAATTAAAAACTGAACAAAATGATATATTAGAGCAGATTTATCGATGCAACGTTGAAGCAATATGTCCAAGTTACTCTCAAAAGTCATTATTTAAAGAACATGACTTTTCACATAAAATTTAGTATAACGATCACATTTCTGATAGACTTCAATTGAAACTTGAGAAAGCACCTACGGTTTATCGAGATCTGCATTTAAGATTTTTGTCTTAGAAATATGAACAAAATCAAGACACTAAGATCATCCTGTATTGAGACTGTGATAAACAGTCATATTGTCTTGTTACTGGATATTTAGACAAGAAAAAATAAATATATTATTGAAAATGATAAAAGAAACTATTTCATTCAATTAATAACAACTATTTATATACTTAATCTATAAATTCTATCGGCTGCCATTAATGCCAGTAGTGTTGATGATATTGTGAGCACAAATGCTGATTCATAAATAATTGAACTATCACCATTCAGATTGATACCATGTGATGCTTCAGCTATTGTAGCTAACATAAACAGTGATATCACAAACTGCACACCAGGCAATATCCAACATGTCAACGATGAACCTGGTAGGGAAAGTACTGAACTATAAATGCTTAGAGCAATTGCAGTCATCTGAAGTATTACAGCGACAATAGCCAATGGTCCACTTGCACGAAAGCGTTTACTGAATGCCACTTGATAATTGTGGGCGGCATCATTGGAATATTTATTTGTATTTTGGAAGATATTTTTCACACATTTGCCCGTGTTTGGTATTGTCGCATTGCAATTATGAAATAGACCGATGCGTTGTGATGAACTCGTATACCAATTGGCTGTCGAAATACTGTAAAGAGTCATTATAACAGAAAATAGTTGCATCGATAAATCTGCTCTAATATATCATTTTGTTCAGTTTTTAATTCTCTTTCGAATGAATTATTGCTTATGGGAAAAGGAAAAATTATACACTTCTCTATGGTATACCGTTCGATAGCCCTTCAAATTCTCTACCGATTGAGCTAGTCCGAATGTGCTGCCTGGTCAGGCCAGACATACGAAGAAAGCGTTGGGGTACGAAAAACACTTGCAGCAAACTACTTTAGTCGTTTTCTTGTTCTATAATATAGCCGGTTGGGGGATATATTATTGCCCAGCATTCTTTGCTCTCTTCGGCTATACGGTTTGCAAATGTTTTTGTTCAGAAACTAAAGACTTGGTTTTTGCAGTGGTCAGGTTTTCCAGATACCTATTATCCAGCTTTCTTCGTATGTCTGGCCTGACCAGGCAGCACATTCGGACTAGCATATTCGGACAGAGAAAGAAATCACACTAAAAGCGTCTTTTTTTTTTGTTCCTCGAACATGCTGAAAGGAAAAGGAAAAGTGTGTTATTTGTCCGTATTGGAGATTGACCTTTGGATTTCCAGTGATATCCTTTTTTTGTGTTATTAGCGAGTTAGAAATTTTGGAGTTTCTGAGCAAATTCCTTAAATAAAAAACCTCCTATTGTCTGACTTCACACAAAAACCAAGAAAGGTTTCATGAAAATAAGGCATACTGGGGCAGACCACCGCCAATAACAACACTGTATGGCATGTTTGAATTAAAGTTCCTCCAAGGCACTGCCCAAAAAGTCACATGAAATCCGTGGGAAAGTTACAGCAAAAATGTTGTGTTTTTGCAGCGTCACATTTTTGCTGTTGAGTTCAACGCTTTTAATGCTGAATGAAACGGCTTCGCCGTGAAATTAGCTGAAAACGTTACTTTAACCCTTTCCAGCCGGATGTTGCCATATGGTAACATTTTTTGCTGTGTTTTAGAAATTGCCGGCTGGAAAGGGTTAAACGTTTTTACTGTCATCTCTTACTGTGACGGTTTTCGTGTTGCGCTCACTGTAAAAAAAAGTCATGTAAAATCCGTGGCAAAGTCACATTAAAAATGTTACTTTTTCGGGATGTCACACTTTTACTGTTTGGCTTTAACTTTTTTAACGTTGAATGAAATGGCTTTATCGTGACATCCGAAAAAAAACGTTATTTTCAACGTTTTTGCCGTCAACTTTTGCAGTCACATTTTTTCTGTCACGTCAGATTGTCACATTTTTCCCGTTTCAAACCACAGATTTTCAGCGTCATTACAATGCTAGACAGTGTTTCTAATAATTGGTAGTCTCTGCGAAAGCAAAGAGATCTTCCACTTTGTAAAAGTCGCTTCCTACTCTGTTTTCCACTTCGAAAATGAAGAAGACCACTTCACTTTTTCAAATTTATGCTTCGCGTTTTTCTGATCAGGACTAATTTCGCCATAATGATTAATCTTATTAGCTCAATCCCTTTTATCACACAACAACTGTCAGTTTCTCTCACTTTTCATGAATAAACAGTCTTAGTCTTAGAGGTACAACTGTCTGTTTGTCCGACCGTCAGACAAACGAGTTGGTTTATGGTAGTTTTAAGCAAATACTAGAATGTCGTATTACTTAATAAATTGCATAACGCCCGTTTTCCTTTGTATCAGATAAAAACGTTTAGCCATGAAAAGTCATTAGCCGTTATCAATAATATCAATAACGATGATTTTTACTTTCTTCTTCATCGTTGTTGTTCTGCGTTCCTTATTTTATGAACTACGTTGAAGAAATTAAAGAAAAGTTCTTTTTATCGCTTTTGCTCCGAGGAAGTTCAAGACTGGACCTAGCTGACGCC